TCCTTTTTGCTAAATTATAAGTAAAATAAAAGTTTTTTTTTTGTTTGTTTGTTATCTGTGATCTAATTTTGGGGAGTGAGTCACGTAATTTTTTTTTTTCTCCTTCTTCTGCCACTTTGCAATGTGAAAAGTTTACTTGGAGAATAATTCACGTTTGAGATCTTTTCTAACAAAATACAAAAAGTGAATGTGTGTGCAGGAAGGTGTTGTCTGTAGCGGAATACGGAAAACTTTGAAAGATTGTGCTCCAACGAATTACGTTTTGAAACCACTTTCAAGAGCTGGCACGCGTTTTAAAAAAATGATTACTTTGTAACAACTCTCTTTTAGGAAATTACTTGAATTCTGGAAATAATTTATAAAATTCCTTGAGCTTCACAAACTTTTTTTATAAATTACATTAATTTAATATTTGCAGTACACTTAAACTTGTTTGTGTAGATTGGTTAATGAAGAATCATTGTAAAAATATTTATAGTGTTATAGTGACATCAAAAATAAATTTTATTAAAAAATAAGGTAATGGGCGATGGTGTCCATTCACGTTTAAACTGTGCAACTTTTACAACAAGACAATTATGTTAAGAAAATGGTTAACTAATTGATTGCCTAGTTCAGTAATGGTGAATCTTTTAGGATAGGTGTATCAAAATTGGGAAAAAAGTAACATAACTCGGGTGTCGTATCACTCGTATACATTCCTATATTTCGTTGGAGATGAATATCTTTTTGGCGTTTCACGAAAATATCTCGCCGTGTCCTGACTGACAAGCCTTTCATAAGTTTGCCAGTTGAAGCTTTTTTTTATTAAACTTCAGCAAGCTGATTCTTTTCATCATCATCGTTATTGATTTTTTCCCAGATCGGAAATGGAACAGACAATCTTTACCTCTACAGCATCATCCTCAAGAGGTTTATCTATCAATTCATCTATATAAGCAAATGCTATAATTTTCTCAAGTTGAGACAAATTTTTAGTAGCAGAAGAAATTTCACCATTAATTATGTGAATTCCTCATTTGACAAAAACGTATATTTTTTAAATCGTGTAAAAATATTCCATGTTGAATAGGTTTGAGTATATTTATTACTTATATTACTTATATTTTTTATATTAAGAAATGGTAGAAAAATATCAAGGGTGTGAGAGGACTAGTGTCCTTTTGGTATAAGTTTAAATATATTTTTTTATGTTGTATAATTTTATTCACAATCTGTTCATCAATGTGAACATTGAGTAAATTTAAGATCGCGGTTGACATTAAATGAATAATCTTTCCCGGTGGATAGTTACCATTAAGGTTAACTTCAGCAGTATATTGATGCTCTGCGAACCCACTATTTCCTTTGACTGTGAATCTGCTGCTATCCTTAATACTGTCATAGACCATCAACTTGGCTAAAGGTCCATATGCTGAACCTCATTAATTTCACTGTCCATCTGTGATGAACGATGACCCTATTGCTGAAGGACCGAGAGGGCTCACAGAGGGCCTGGATTTACCAGGTTTTGAACCCACGAAATTGTAGGTTGAGCGACTTAACCATTCGGCTATTAATCGCCCTATAAGTTTAAATATGAAAATGTTATGAAATTGAATAACAATTACTGTTTCACCCCTAAAATGTCTAATATACAGTCTGTGATAAATTTACAATTTTATAGAAAAAATTCTTGTCTAAGAAATTAATTATTTGAGTTTTTCAGTTTTAAATACATTTGTTAAGTTTTACATTATTATGAGAATATTGATCTGTTTTACACAAAGTTTAAAGTTTGTTGTTTTAACCTAATCTTATATTTTTGTAAGAAATACTGTGGAACCTCGCTTAACGAGCATAATCCGCTTCAAAATGTTTGGATTTTTGCTCGTATAATGAAACAATTTTCCTCATATAAACTAATGTATTATACGATAATGCGTTCCATTTTGTGAGTCATTTGTCTTACAATTTATTTTGCTTGTTATGCGAGGTTCTACTGTATATAGGTTTGAATATCAGGAAAACTATATATCAATTGTACTTAAAATATTCATTGCAACAAAAACTAAATTTTCTTAAAATATCATCAACATTACAGTATTTTGTAATATCTACTAGTTATATAATGATTCAAACTTAAATTAAATATATGAATGTAACCTGTGAAAGTTTCTCTGAATGTGTGGTATATACACCCAGTATATACCACTAATTATACTTACGTTACATTTGGTGAAACCTTTTGGTTCTTGCCATTTATCTATTATTTATATTTATTGTTTAAGATAATTTCATTGTCTATAATAAATATGTTTTTAATCATAAAGATTGCATAATACATTTAATGTTTCTATAATTCTAAATATAAAATTTAATGAATTATAACGAAATATTAATTATATTAATCAACATAGTTGCATTTTACAGCATCGAAGGCAAATGTTATATTTTTTATAATTAAGAAAAATCTTCATTGCAGAATAATCATTAAAAAAAACTAAGATATTTATAATTAGATAATAACTATGAATTACTAAAAGTAAATTGTCGTATTCTTTAGCGTAAAAACTATATAATCAAATATGATAAAGATTGTACCAAAAAAAAACTCTACTGATATTTAATAGCAGTCATACAAACAAGAAGGAGAGCAGTACTTCAAGAAACCACAATACTAGGAAAGATAGGGTTATAGTTGTGGATGGAGTTTATTGTGTTTAGGAACTAAGTTTTGGTGACACCTTAAAAATGCAATCTCCTATTGGCAAGGTGAGCAATAACAACAAATAAACATTAGATTAAAAAACCGAGAACTAAAGATAACAGTATTCTGACAATGTTCAAGAAAAAATACAATAAATAAAGTAGAACACGGTATAAAAGTAAAGAAGGTGCATGAGGCTGTCTTAACTTACAATGGATGAGAAGAAGCGTAATATGAGTGACAGTGATAAGAAGGATAATAAGATCAGCAGTGATAGGTATAAAAATATAATGAAGAAATGTTATAATGAGTCTCTGTCTAAACTTACCAAGTATAAGAAAAAAGTTTCAGTGAAAAGACGGAAATCTCCAGTATAATTGAGTCGAGATTGCTGCAACCAAGTAAATAAGCAAATTGGAGAATAAGAAAACACCTCGAACGTTCCAAAACTTATTATTTGGTGACACATATGAGAAAGAGTGTAGAAAAAATATGAGTATAGCTAATCCCGAGATCATAAATAATCCAAGACTTCAACGGTACAGGAAATCCACAAGTTTAGTGAAGTCAAAGTAAATAACGCAAATTCGTGTAAATAACACAAAATGCTGCCTTCATTAGAAACCAATTATAGTTTGCAAAAGAATATCAATTGCAGAATGGATGATAGTGATAAGTTGAGGATCGGTCAAAAGCTGAACATCGAGATGTCCAAAGTGTACTTGTAATGCAGACAAAACATAGTAGGTATGTGAATGCTGCATCGAAATGTCAACAAGAAATATACCGAAAATGAAGTCATTAATAATACTAAGATATCCATGGTGAAATCGTGCAGGTCGGAATGCAATAAGTACGTACAACACCGAATTTGATGTTAGCTGCAGATAACAAAGACAAAAACTGGGCGATATATATTTGAAATATACGTATATTGTTTAAAAAATGTCCTATCATGTAAAAATATTGAGGATGTATTTTTGACTTAATTTTATTAGTTGTATTTTATTTATGTATTTTAAAATTATTTTTAATAAATATTATAAAACTTATTACTAGTACTTATTACTTATATTTATGAAATAATATTTGTGTCTTTGTAAGATTCGTAATTTCAGAAAATTATTTACTTATAACTATAGAATAAATATACAAATTTCTTTCAAATAAATAAAATTTAGTTTATTTTTAAATTTTCAAACCGTACTATAGTGAATCCTGACTGATCGAAGACGCACCATGCGAAGTATTGATTTTAGTTTTCAGTAAAATTACAAACTTCCACAAAAAAAACAGCTGGGTAGGTTTTGAATTTCATTTCACGTCGTTGTTTTACTGAGCACTTTTGTCCTACACGCTTTAGTTAATGATTGCTTTCGTCTGCACGATTTTGTCGCAGGACAAAATTGTTTTTGTTACAGCATCAAAACATTTCATAGTTACTTAACCAGATTTGGAATAAATCCAACTATATGGAAATTATATATTTTATCGACCACCTAAAATAGAAGTTAATAAAATTTAAAGGCAACATATACAGATAGTTCTACAAACCAAACAGTAAATTCCAACTGATCGAAGCCGCACCATGCGAGGTATTACTGTATACAACGATATATAAACAAGTAAAAGTTATTAAATAAAACAACTAATTATACATTAATAAATTTTATTAATTATTCCATTCATAATATAATTACAACAGAGAATGTAAACCGAACATACAAACAAAAAAAAAAGAATTGCATTGAGTTGTTGCTCAAATGAGTTTTCCGTTTAAATATTATCTGTATACGCTTAAATTGAATAATACTTCAATAGTAGTTGACAAACAAACAAAAAAAATATAATGAAAATTATGATAATGAAAGAAAAACATTAATTGCACGAAACGCAGAAAGTTAGAGAAAAAATTCACAAATTCTTCTGTTTTTTTTTTCTTTGACATTGTATTTAATATAAGTTTACATAATGTAATAATGCGCTCGCATTTGATTTATTTTCATTTATCATTACTTCATTTCATATTTTTTTTTACTGGTTTAGCTAAATTACATACAGATTAGATAAATTTGCCATATTTTTTTTTCATTCTTTAATTACTTATAAGATACACATTTTTGTTTTTTCTTCTTCTTCTTAATATTCTTCTTCAACTATTTTAAATACGCGCAAGTTATAATTATAGTATTAGGATAAATATGTAGGATGAAAATATTTACCGCCCGGTACACCTGATAAAAGTTTCATACAAAAAAAAACTAAAGGACAACGAAAATTTGAATTAAATAAAAAAATAATAATAATCATCATCATTATAATAATAATAATCTAAAAGTAAAATCACAGAAACAAAATTAAATTAAATCCCATCTAGATACATCGTTCCAAAAATTAAAGGTGACATCTCTTTTCTTCATTCTTACTTCCATTCTCTCTCTTCTATGTTTGTATATATATATTTATTTATTTCATCTTCTTTTTATTTTGCTTATTTAGGTAAGATTTAGGATGCGACATGCGTTTGTGGTGAACCCCTCGAGCGGCTGCAGGATCTTCTGGGGATGGAGGATCTCTGAGGAGTCACTGCCGCCTCTCCAGGCGTCCGCCACAGCCTGCTTGTGGTGCTTTGAGGAGGCAAGGACCTCTGGTTCTTCGGTCTCCTTCCTTCATTGACACTGCAAACAAGATACACGTCATAACCAAGCAACAAAATATTGTTTTACAACCTGAGACGACCAAACATCAATAAAATGTAAAACAAAACAAAAAAGAAAAGAACAACATTGGGAGGGATGTTGGTTTCAATCTTACCCGAAATGTCTGCCGAGGCCGCATGAAACATATAATAGACTATTACAAGTTGGGATAATTAATCAATGATCTATTAAAACTGGTTCTCACTCAGATTCACAAGCATTCGATTAGTTCTGAAGGATTAATAACAAAATGGAAGTGATTCAACCAAGGACTTCGAGGGAGCAACAACCACTAAACTTTTTAGTATTTTTGTTTTATTTGTTAAATAACTCTAATCGACATCACAGCTTTTCATCTAATCATCATTCTCCTAATCACACCTTCCATATAATACCTAAATACTCCAAACTCTCTAAACCCATCACTTCAATTAATAGAAAGCCAATGATTCTTATATACTTGCACCAACTTCAATACTCAAAATATATGATTACTATAAGTTATTTGATTATTATTACTTAACCTCGGTTAAAATATAATGTCTTTCTTATTTTTCTATGATAATTGTTACTAACAACACATGAATATTTTTATATATTTTTCCACTTAAAAGAAAATCGGATTATATTAATATAATTATCATTATTGATTATTGATTATATGTAAATAATATTTATTTGGCGATATATGTAGCCATAAATTATTAATATTTAGTGAAATATTTTCATATGAGTATCCTGTTCTAAAACTTAATTATTATTATTATAAAATGGTTATTTTTTTTTCAGTTTTACGTAAATATATTTGTATAGATTTCTTTAAGATACATTAATTTGTTTCGGAAAGTAAAAATTTATAAATGCATTATTCTGGTTTGATTACTCCTCAATTTTGTATTCAAATATAGTAATATTGACTAAAAAAACTGTAGCAACAAATAATAGCAGCGTTTCTATGGGTCGCGTTAATTTTGTAATTGGTTGCAAAATGACAGCTATCACCTTATGTCAAAGCGAGAATCTAGTGAATTGTGTGCAACTACAAACAAATATATTGGATTGAAAAACGTTGACATTCATGATGCAAATATATTCGTCATAAGCGCTACGCAATACAAGAGACCATGACAAACATAACCACTTAAGGGGTTAAAATAATTAATTTCAAAAATTGAGAAAATTCAGATATTAATTTTGTTTCTTCTTAATTTTGTTATCAAAATTATTTAATATTGACCTTGGCATAAAATTCATAAAACGAAAACTATATATTACTAATTTCAATAAAAATTAAGTTATTTTCTTGTAAAGTACAACTACTTTATAAAGACACACGTTTTAATCCTATAATTTTCATAATTGCATATTTTCTAGGAAACTAGTTAAATTTACACATGCATTGAATGCAAGTAGCAAAATAGAAAAAATGTTGTTAAGAAAGTACGTTGAAAAACGGAACGTCTGAAGAAATCAGTCTCACGGAAATGCCGGGGCGTTTTCGCAGATTTCCTGCGAAACCGATGAACAAAAGAACAAAAATGGTTACGTAATTTGAGTAACGTTAAAGGAAAAAACACCGCAAAACAGGCGTAAGAAGTTCGCATAAAAAGATCTCGTTAAAGAAAATACCCAACAGTTTGTAATATGAAAATATACAAATAATTATATTTTATAATGATTGCTTTAAATTAATTATATAAAAATATGTTGTTTAAATTGCACCATTTCTATATTCATAAAAAGTTAAATGTTAAGAAGAAAGTCCATTATATAATTATACGTTTTATCTTTTGATTAATGTATTTTTTTTCTTTGTTTATATTTTGTAGAGTAATAGTAATAATTAAATATATTTACAGATTTACTGCAAAAAAAAAGAATTTCATTTTATATACATTTATGCAGATATTATTTATGTCTATTTATAAAATGTCATGTAAGAACATCAGATGTTTTCGTAGATTTACGAATAAGAAAAAAATGAACATGGTTACTTTACTAGTGTAATTAATGTAATTAAAATACTTCGAAATAAAAGTTCGAATAAAATTATTATAAAAATAAACTTATTTAATAAATTTAATTATTAAATAACAAGATAAAACTACGATATTTGTGCAATTAATATTTTTGTATGATATTGCACTGATTATGTAACTTATTAATAATAGTGTAAATATGTTAAATCAAGATTCATCATCTATTTTGTTGATGGATTTTAAACAAAGTATTGCTAATCTTTTGAAACTATCTTTTCAAAAGTTCATAATAAATCAATTTCATTCATTAATAATATTAATACATTATTGTCTTGATTATAATTAAGACCTTTATTGTTTTGGTTATATAATTTTCAAAACTAACATTTTAAATACATATGTAATTCAACTGATTTATTATATTATTTGTAAATTAATTATTAAAATGGTGTTTTGCATTATCACGACTAAACAATAACTTATTTCATATTTTGAAAAATATACAAATTTTATGTTACTTCATCAATATGTATGTTTACTTGTATTTTAAAAGCTGTTGATTATTTGAGAATTTGTTAAAAACTTTGAACACTTCTCCATATCACATTTAATAAACATGCAAAAACTAGACATTTAAATAAATATATGTGATTCTAGTTTACTGCATTTAAATAGGTTGATTTATATTGAAGATCTATGTATAAAAATAGAATGTATATAAATAATTATATTTTTTAAAGTTTATGTTTAAAAAAATAAAATGAGAACAATCGAAGTCGAAGTTTTCTCTATAAATAAATAAAAAGTAATAGGGAAACTGTTATGAGAGCGTGACAGCAGTGAGAGCATATTGATGGATACTTTACCATTGTTTTCTTTAAAATATTATGGTCTACGTATTTTCTCGTTATTTTATAATAAATTGTAGCAATTATTGTTACTTATGGAAACTCGGTAAGAAAATCCGTGTTGCAGAGTGATGAGTAAGAGTACAAGAGATTGGCCAGACACAACAGATTCACAGCGCACAAAACAAACACCCCTAAAAGCACATCAGCACACTCTACCTGCCCTATCCTGAAACTATCCAAGTAGTTCGCATTTTTATTGCAGAAATGAGCAGCGTTAAGAAACAAGAACAAAAAACAAGAACAATGAGCATCGAGGTATGATTCGTAACGTAATCAACTAGAGTTTAAGCTAGTCTATGCGTTAGTAAAGTAATAGAATTGTGTAATTGTTAAAAGGTGTTAGTGAATTAATGAAACATAATATGGGTATACCTGACTAAACCCCCGTTAGCCTCAGTCGGTGATCCTTGAAGTAGGGACGGTCCAGCTGAAATAGGACGCAACTACGGAAGCAAAGGTCAGTGTTACTGTCTAAATGCTGTGAGAACTGTCCGGATGCAGAGTTTTCAGATCTGGACCGGAATCTTTAATTGTTATTGTACTTACTCTTTCCGTTTGGGTGGCTGCATTGCATGTCATTGCTGCCACGTTGACAGAGGCGGGCGCGCTTTGTGAGTTTTGCTGGTCTGTCGCCAGCTTTACCATTTCTTCTTGAAGATTCTGCACCATTCGTTCCTTGTCCTCGAGCTGATCCTGCAGGAACAGGACCTGTCGACGCAGGTTCGCCAACTCATCCATGTTGACGAACTCACCATCGTCCGTATCTTTATCACAATCCGAGCTAAAACCATTGAAGAACCCATTCTCTAATGAGTTGCGAGCTTCACACTAAACAACAAAAGAATATAATAATTAATACAAGGAAATTTAGAAATTATTTACAATAAAGTTTGAACATATATTATCTGCAATGCGTGATTTTCGTCTATTTATTTCATATTTAAATCTTCACATATTATATTTGCATAGCTAGTATATTTCAAGTACTATGTCATTCCCGGGATTCCCGGGAAATTAATCCATAAAAAGTGACCCATTGGTTTAAAATATGATTAAATATGATATTTTTAAAGAACTAGGTAATAAATACATGTATTGATATTTTATATGAAAAGTATGCGTATAATTGTAATAACAATAATAAAATATTTATGGCCCAAGTAAATAAGAATAAAATTAAAAAGTGCAGAAAACAAATTCGAAGAATTGTGCTTTCAGCGTGAACTCACCTTCGACAAATACTCTTCATCGGTTGGCTTATGGATTGCGAAGAAAAGCAACGAACATGCAAATAAAGTATAAATTTTAAAATAAAAGTTTGCAAAAATAAAAACAATAAATATGGCAATGTGATTTTTTTAACTTCCTCCGTTAAGCAACGTACATCAATAGTAAGTTGGTTAACTTTGGTTGCGTTACACAACAGTTGAACTTAGATCAAAGTCAGGCATGGAACTAAGTTCAACCACCGTTATCAAATTGTTTGTTGTGTACCTCATTAAGAACCCTCTTGAGTTTGAGCAGCATTGTTTTGATGCCCATAACATCTTGTTGCATGGCAGAATGCTGCGCCCTGTCGACCCTAATTGCAGAATCATCGGAATCGTAGCCACCTGTTCCGGTGGAGGATCTGCTGGACAGACGGAGAGGACTGGATTTTCCGCGAATAACATCACGTGGCGAATCAGGATGAGAACCGGGCGTCGCGGCGCGCGATCTCAGAAGTCGTGTCGGTCTAGACGACAACCTAAGTAACCAGAAACAAAAAAAAAACAACCGAATCAGAAAACTGGTCGAGGATAAAAGCTTTGTTTCGAAAGTGCTTTCTTTCTCTTAGAAGTATATGCATATAAAATTAAAGTTTAAAATGTTCACGAAACCGGAAAGCAACGTGTTTGGATCAGCACCTGGCTATAGTAACAGGAATGCCACTGGTGCGTCTCGGATGTTTCGGCTCTGCCGCAGCTGCAGCCATAATGACATGTTCTTAACTAGAGAATAGTACGTTGCTTCCGAGTTTACAGACTTCTAGGCACATCGATCACAGTTTCCTTGGCGACAAAATAATAAGGATGAAATAATGGAGGAAAACAATTAGATTATGGAGTAAATGGGAGACGTCGCGACGCTCTACATTTCTTCGGTGCGCTGCAATGCATAGGCCGTGGTTTGGAATGGAGAGAACGATGCGACTTGCGCGCATATTCCGCGTGGATGGCAGCAAAACTCAATGATACTAGTCCTGCGCCCTTCGTCCTTCGCCTACTCATACACTATTTTTAAACCTAACCTTTGCCATTTCACCCCAATCCCAACTATATTAAATCCCTTCCCTAATGTGCATTTAACCTCCTTGCAAACTCTATTTGCAAAATAAATTTTATACTAAATACAATTCAATTATTTTAGTCATTTAATTTAATAGAATAATAGTTTTTAAAATGTTTTACAAATTAATGCATTTTTAATTAAATATTAAATACTTTTGCATTATTACTTTACAGCAACATTTTCTTCTATTAATTGAAAAAAATCTAATATATGTTGAAATATACTTAAATTTTACAAATTTATCTTTGCTAAAGAAAATGACGATTATTTTATTTTTCAATTATCATTAGTAAAATGCAACAATGTAACATTTGTAATTCCAATTTATTTCTAGCATATTTTTCTTCATTTTATTTAATTAACTATATTCAATTGTCCTTTACTTTGTGCATTTTATTTGCTATAACCCTTTTCAATTAACCTTAATTACTTTTAACGATTTTTATCCAGTAATTACGTTTTATTTTGTTTTAATTATAATCAGTGTAATTAGTGCGGAATAGCCTTTTGTAGCAGTTTTTCATAATTATTGTATGGAAATATTGAATTATGATTTTTTTGTATTATTGCAATTTTTATTATTATCGTCAGAATAATTATTTAACTTTTCAATTACCAAAAATAACTATAATACATATATTATCTAATTTCGTCTTAAATCTACTAAAAACTTTATTTTAAATAAATCTATAATTAAAACCAATCGTAATTAAAATCTTTACATACCTTAATATTTTATATTTCTTTTAATTATCAATGTAAGATTAAAAAGAATTTTAATTAATATAGAAATAGTTATGTAATTATTATTATTTATTAAATACTAAATTATATTAATCTAGAGAGCAATCAAAACTTGTTTTAAAGTCATCTTTAATGTCTAATAAATTTTGTATAAATTTGCTTTGGTGTGCAAACTTTAATTTGCAGTAAATTTACCATAAAACAACAGTGCTATATAATACCTGTATCCTTTGTTTAATTTCCGTTAACCTTTATATATAATATATATAACATATATACATATATATATACATATACATATAACCAATAACTGCCTTTACATCATAGCGTTTGAAAATTGACCTAAATTGATTAATTTATTTCGTTTAGTTCATTCTATTTGGTTGGCAAGAAAGTAATTTTGGTTTTCATAAAGACTTCTGTCAATGTTATAATTTTTACTTTTCTCATTTGAAAAATGTCACTTTTAGCTTCCTTTAGAAGCTTAATTTTGTTTGCTGCTGTTAGTTTAGGGTCAATTTTAACAGAAGTTCAAAACCGAGAATTTTCGACATATTGTACTTTTTTATTTCCGTAAAAGCAAAAAGTTGCTAAGGCTTTGAAGCGACTGATGACTTCATCTTACATTAAAGCAACAAATTTCTTGTTTAAATATCTTCATGTGGTCAATCTCTATAACATTGTTTGATACATGCCATGACGTATCTGTAATTGCCTACTGCGTTTTCGATTGGAATTGTTGATGTATTTCAATGCTGTAACTCCAGCATTGAATTGCTTAACTGTATTTCAAACGACTAAACAGGCTTTATAAACAACCAGTTTTAACTTTTATTATACTTTAAATTACTTTTCTCTTTGTACATAATTGTTTTCTTTCTTTTAAATTGGATACCTTTTCAGTTAATTCATTTTAAAACAACAACAACAACCTAAACACAATTTTTTTACTTGAGTAATTGTTATTTGTTATTATTAATTAATTATTGATATATAAAGTAAGGAAATACATATGGTCAATAGTAATTTATGACTATTTTGTGACTATTTCAATAAATATTATTATAATATAAGTAATAAATGTGTAAATCAATGATATGACCAAATATAATAATACCTTGGGGTACATAAGTTTAATTTTTTGTTATTTTTTTTTATATAAAATACTTATTTACATAATGTTATTTATATAAAAATGATTACCATATTAGAAAGTGTACATACATCAACCAGTTTTTTTTTATACATATTTCATTCATTTCATCAAAGAGTTTAAGTAATTGAAAGTATTTTTTTAAGTTCAAAGTTTAGCATTTGTAAGGATACAAAATATAATATGATTGTGAGTTTAAAAATAAGAATGAGTCATTTATAGAAGACTATCACAGTTTGATTTCCATACATTGTGTTTAAATAAATGTCAACTTTTTTATTTTTGATAAATACTGACTAACAATAATTTGTTCACGTAAAAAGTTGTAGACTAAAAATTATCTGAAACGGATGACGGTTTTCAATGTAATCGCAAAAACAAACAGTTTTGTGAACGAGTTAAAGCTGCTAAGTCCGAAATTAAACAAAGTTAAACGCTTACTCAAATACTTCCATGTAGGTTTTATGTAATCGTCAATTTATAGCAATTCACACTTCATTTCATTATATACCAACAGATTACGTAAATCCCAAATAAATACTATTCAAATACTTGTATTGTAATAATTATATTATCAATCAATTTTACAGCAATATTGATACATTGTTATTATTAAAAAAAAACTTCAATTAATAATAAATTTTAAACTAATTAAAATAATATAAGATAAAACCAAAAGAAATTTCATTTTTGTTTTCATTGCGTTACTTTGAAACCAGTGTTTTTTGGTATTGTTTTGAAGCTCTGTTAGTAATATTTCTATTTCGACATTTTCTAATATTGGCTTTTACATAAAAAATGTAAAGGCCAGATATTGAAGAGTTCAATATTTTCAATATTTTATGCTGTTTTTATATGTTAAAGAATTGAAATCAAAAGAAGCTACCCAGACCATCTGCAATATTTATGGAGTCATCTTGAATTCTCGATAGTGCTATGATTTCAAAACATCCAAAATGATGATAGGGAGTTCAGACATATACCAACATACATACCTCTTAAGAACTATAATGATACTTTAAACTCATTAGTGGAGTACGTTACGCTTAAAACAATCAAGGAATTGTTACAAAACCTTGCTGGTCACATAAACTTTTTGACGACATTAGAAATAATCATTTCTTCATCTTTTTTGTCCAGATATGAAAATCGATACGTTTCTTAGAAAATCTGTTACTGCAGAGGTGTATTATGTCCAAGGAAGAGTAATATTAAAAGCGGAACTGTTTTTAGTAAACAATTAAAGAAGAATTCTATAGTATGCTAATGCAAGACCACACGTAACTAGGATTAAGCAGGACAAAATAAGAAAACTTGATTCAGAAGTTCTGCAACATTCAATCATATCCACTTGATATTACACCTTCGGACTGTCAACTTTTTAAGTCGAATGTTGAACAAGTCCGAACTCACTTGGAGTCATATATTAATTAAAAACCGCCAGAATTTTACGAAAGATGTATAACTATCTATTATGTAGAAGAAGATCGCAAATAATATACAGAAACTATTTAACAGAATAATATTGGACAATTTTTGTTTAAATAATTTTCTTGTCGCATTAAAAAAATGTCATTTCTTTCCACTTATATTTCGTGTTAATATGAAAAGGATTATACATTCTTATTCCATTACACTTAAAAGAAACTGAAAATAATCTAATTATGTTTCAAATAATAATTAATTCTTGATACAGGAAAATAATATTTACAGTTAATAAATAAAGATTTCTACGTTGTGTCTATAAAGCTAAAATACGGTGTTTTAAACTGCATAATAATACATTATGCATGCTTTGTTTATACTGGCAAGATATGCATGTACTATTTATAAAATGTAACTTTTTTTTTATCGCCAATATTTAACACGTGAAAGATGAAGGTGAGTATAATTATCTCATCAGTCAGTAGAAGTTATTATAAAATTTGCAACCGTCCTTCCACATTAATTGACATTTTTTCAATGGCTTTCACTTATTTTTTTGTTTTTTGATTTACATCAATAGAAATAATTATTTATACGCCCAAAAAACATATTTTCACATTTTAGTGAATTTGTCAAAAACGATCATAGAATGGACACAAAAGGTGTTAAAGATGGATAATTGAGGAATGTAACATGTATTCATTTATTGCTGTTATTTCATCCATTTGTCACATGAAGTAATATAAAATTTACGCCCAAAAAAAAGATTTTTTTTTGTGTCTTCACATTTTAGTGATATTGTCAAAAACTAACAGTTTATATTTAGTTTAATATCAATAATTTCATGTTTAATTACAAATAACTTGTAGTAAATCTTCTTGCTATAAAATTCCTGTATTATTTGCCTTGAAATGATGATATTTCCATTTAAAGAAATATAATAAAATAATTTCATAATATTTGTTTTATTACTAAAATGAATGACTAACATAATTTACAATAGCTTAGTTTCTAATATAAATGATTAACTAACATTGACATTTAATTGATTCATTTTAATTATAGAACGGAAATAAGTAAGATCAGTTTTTGGTAATACCATGATTATTTTAGTTGTAATTTCCAGCAATTATCAAACGTAATTATACATCTAAACACGCTTTAATTAAACGCGCATAATCAAAAACGTATAAATGGATTAATTAAAAACTTCATTCGGCTGAAGCCTTCCAAGCGCAAATCTAATTATATTTCCTTTTGATGTTTTACTACATTATTTCTACTCTATAAACAGCTCATTATTTTAGTCCACCAGAACGTTGATGATTCAAATTCAAAGCAAAATATAATTATTTTCAAAGATAATCCAGAATGACAAAAAATGTGAAGTTTACCTTTGTAGAATACATTTTCAGTACACCTTTGTATAATAATAATTTTCCTCATTACAGAATTCCGCATGTTTCACTCATTATAACACAAAAGAAGATTACATCAAAGTATAAACTAAAGAATAAAAACGTAGAGATCTTCAGAATAAAACTTAATTAGAAGAATAATTTTGAAAGTACTAACATAAATTAATTATATTAATAATAATTATCTTAATTATATTTGTTTATAATAATACCATCATTTTAGTCTATTTATAATAAATACCAAAACGAGGTGTTTATAAAATTATTAATGATTATTTCAAATTAATTACATAATTTATGTACTAAAATTATTATATATGCAAGTTATTGAAGTTTACATAAAACAATATTGCTTTTTATTAAACCAAACAAGCGCATACTGCGGCTTCGATTAGCCCGTTTATTTTAATATGCACTATGCGAGGTACTGCTATATACTCATGAATGAAAAAAATGTTACTTACACCACAGACTGAATGGAATACAGACATTATGAAAGATTAACAAAAACGATTAATTGCAAATAAATGAGAAAGAGAAACGCAACGAAAGGAATGACATTGAATGATCTGAACTGTGGTTCTTGAAAGACTGAATACAAGCATTCATCAAAAAGTACTTTCACAGTAGATTTGCAGGTGTTCCATGCACGCGCTTACATAAATAGAAACAGTATTTTTTTTGTACAACAAAATTGCAATGATTCAGACGTTTCAAAATAGAATTGCATAGAACCTGACATATTTTTTTTGATAAGTTTATATTATCTAGCTCGTAACCGGTTTATAAATAGTAACCTACACAAATACTGAAAGCAAACTTCAAGTCAATTTGTTATTGAAATAGAATTGGTTAAGATTATTTTTTTCGGTACGTCGTAAATTAAACACTTAAGGATCTAGTGTAAATTTGGTTGATTGCCATAAAATAGTTGAGATAAATTTAGAATCTAATTAGACCAGACGAAATAAGAAAAAGTGCGTACTGAGGATCGAGAATAGTCTTGAAAGTATATTAAGGAAATACGAGATTTATTGAGATTGAATTTTCACTTGCAATTTAAGAGAAATCAGATTTTGATAGAGGATTTTCTCAATACTCATACTTACTTACATAAAAACAATATTAAAATTTTATAAATCTCGATTATATTTGGTCCTTTTCAATAGTTTCATTATTTTAAATATTTAAATAATCATTGTTATTAATTAATTAATAATTTAATATGTTACAAAAAATGTGTGAAATAAACTAATTTAGAAGAAAATTTAGCTAATAAAAATTAATTGAATATCTTAATTAGATTAGATTTCTAATTTAAAAATAACGAAATTCATAAACAAAGTTTTCTCAGTTTAAACATCAATTTGAGTTATCCTATTTTAAAAGCAACCTTGGATTTTAATTACATCGGAAACTGTCTTTAAATTTTCTTCACTTTTTAATTTAAAATGTGATTTGGGCATTACGCAAATATTATCAATTTTAATTGGTAAATTTGCCATACATTTGATATTAATTTTTAACGGACTTTAAAAAATAATCTAATTTTCCTAATTTACAAAAAATTAAATATAAAATATTAAATTTCATAGATAATTGTCATTCTTTAATGGAAAATTCTAAATAAATTTATTTGATTTTTAACGAAGATAATTCAGACGTATTAAAAAGTAGTTAATACATAATTTAATTTGTATTTAAATGCGTATTGATAAAATCAGATAAAAACAATTTATAATGCACTTGAGCTAAGGATAAGATGAATCTGGTTAAGATTAGAAGAATGTGTCGATCGAACTCGGAAAGTCTAAAATTAAACTCAGTAAAATGTTAAATAAAAATAACAGTTGTCCGTGTGAAACGCAGCATCCAAAACATTTATTCGTTCACATTTCTTGGATTTGAAGTTCAATAAACTCCGGAGTGAAAGAACACTCAGTTTCCCGGAAAATGGTATAAGATAATTTAACCTTGAGCTTTGGATAATGAAACTAGAGAATTAGGATAAATTGGATCGATAGGCTTGCTGCAAAAATTAGATCCAATTTGGGATCGTTATCAGCCGACAATAAAGTACACATTACGCGCTTTCCTCCGATAAAATGCTATCAAGGTTGATTATCGCAATAACGACTGAAGTGGAACGAATCATGAATTAATGTTTGAAAACTATATAAAAAAAAGCATACATTAATCATTAGAAACACAGCGTATCAAGGCAAGCTTGACGAACTTGGCCTCAATAATCTTCCAAAAGCAGTTGCCAAAAATTTTCAGTCAGCTGATGTCACGCAATTAAAACAAAATAGCAATGGTTTCGTGATGATTCGAAGGCACAGTTACATCTGAAATGACCGTAATTAAATTCACACGCATCCCTGCGTCCGTCGTGGTTTCTAAAATTGCAGGCATTCCGTCAGGGCGCGAAAATCAAAAGTTCATTGAACAAGAACAACATTCTTAAACGCTCTTTTTGAGAAACCATAATCGCTCCCATTTCACGTATCTCGGTTTCGAATGAGGAAGTCGCAACTGGTAGGGTTTCAGCGTGTAAAATGGATCAAAACCCGTTTTTAGGTCGTTAACCACATGCAGCAATATCCTCGACTCTCCATTCTTCTTTCGTTTCGACTTTTATTTACAAAACAAATTTCGTTTTCGGTTGATTTCACTAAGCGCTTTCCTAACAAACAGGTACTTTACCGCAAATGCAAATCTCTACATAAACATATTTCAAATTATTTATATATATTATACCCATTGACTACTGGAATCGGGATCTGGTGGTTTTTGCCAACAACGCTCTTCATCTCGTCTTTCTTCTCGCACTTATCCCACATTGTTATGAAACACCACAAAATGTAAATCTTCAGTCGAACTCATTAACTTTTTTTTTAATTTATATTCTTCACTCAATATTTTCCGCTGTATTCAAAGAAAAACTAATTTCAGATTTTCCAAGCGCACCGTGCCAACTTTCCGCCGCGTCCAGCTGTTTACTATTTTATTTTCGCTCCGGCGGATCTCGCAGCATGTGCACGATATTACTATGACTCACCTGCCTTCGAAAACCACAGGTAGATACATACAATTACTTCCACCTGAGAACAATCGTAGGCAACCACGTGTACCGGCATCACGTAACGAATTATGTAAATGTATTGTATAGGCAACTAAATTAACACTCTGCAAATGAATAGCATATGTCTATTGACATTTTGCATCATTTACGTGTAAGATGAAATAAAGGGACAGTAAGGGCCAGTTAGAGTTGGCAAGAAGTATTATTAAAAACATATTAATTAAATAATATAATATTACCTTTTAGTAGATGATCGTGTATCGCAGGCACTCAATATTGAAGGCCAATCTCTCATGATTTCGGATGTTTTCAACTCAATACTGCGCACTTTGACGTCATCCAAAGAAAAGCGGCAACTGCTTTGTTCGGTTCTACAAAGTGTAATTGAATTAGTTTAATGGGTGGATTTTGTTTGTAATTGGATTACCTATCAAGATCTTCTACGCCGCTGCTTTGGCTCTGCTCTAAATCGAGCATGCAATCATCTGAGTCGATGCTTTCGCAAGGTGACAGAGTATCTAAAGATCCCGTCCTGGAGCTGAGTAGTTTCTTATTGCGTAAAATGAGCGGACTGCCTTCGAATGCGCCCATGATCCTTCTCTTAGGGACAGGGGTGGTTTCCACTAAAGTTGGAGTGGCCTCGCTGTAAGCTTCACTATTGCCAGCCGTCAGAGTATCATCAAATACAAGTGCGGGTTGATCTGCGATTTCATCATCTATTAGAAAGTCTTCCCGGTCATCAGAGAGCGAAAGAGAGTTTGATTCGTTAGTGGGACTACCCGGTGCTGACAGAGTCAACTTCTCGTTAATATCTTTGGAGTTTGAAAAGCTGTTGTTCTTCTTAGTGTCTTCGGAGTAACTGCAGACGATGCTGTCAACGGGTGACGTTTCATCTTCTAAGTTAATGGAATCTTCAGCGTTAGCAGCCACCGCGGCGAATTTCGGATCTTCAATGGATAGAATGACGTTGCGAATTTCGCTTTTCGGTATTGTGCTTGTCAGTGAAGCTGTCATGAGATTTTGCAAGGCTGATCCAATCGAGGTGGCCGTCATTTTGTTGTGGATGACAGGTACTTGATCCTTCTCGCGACTCTCGTCGCTGGAGCTGAAGCTGCAACTGAAATCATCGGCCATAGCTTCTCCAGCGGCGTTATTCCACATTTGATCATCTGAACTCGGTGGACTTGAGTCGTTTTCCTTGATGCGGGTTTTAAGGAATGATTTCGGTTTCTCAACGCGTTTCTCTTCTTCGTAATGACTGGAGGCGTCAGAGGATGTTAACGAGTTACGACGAATCCTGTCATTGTCTATTTTCCTTTGGTACTCGATTGTCCTGTCCCGAACGAAGCCGCTGTTTTGGCGTTGGAAAGCGCTTGGCAATGGAGGAAGTGGAAGCGTGATCGGCTCCGAAACTTCATCTATGTCTCTAACATCAAAGGTGTTTCCACACACGATAGCCTCCAAGTTACGACCTCTTATCTTAGTACGACGGAACATCGGAGAGCAGTCAAGCTGCTGGATGTTATCGCTGCCGACGCCCGAGTCCTCCGTCTCCTCCGGCTGCTGGTTTTGTTTAGTATTATTGTTGGCAAGAGTCTTTGCGGTTTTTGATTCCATGATTTTAATAGGCATCGGGCGGGGAAGCTGGTTGCTCTGAAGAGTAAACTTGTTGGGCTGGGGAAGGCCACCATTAACTTTGATCGTGCGGTTCTTGTTTGAGTCTATGGATGTTTTGTGCATTTCCACTTTTGCTTTAATCGCGTTCTCTAACTTTTCCACTTCTTTGTTGTTGTTGGAATATTCCATGTGGGCTGGAGGATGTGTGTTTATGTCGGCGACGCGGTTCAGGCGGTTTGCGTTCGACTGGCGGAAGCCGAAGCGGCTCACTTTCGTTCCTGCTGCTTCCTTCTTCGGGGGTGGAAGTCGGTGAGGGGTGGATCTACCCGATTGCATAGCATTCGTGGTTAGGGGCTCGGTGTCACCTGTGTTACCATTGTTGTCGATGGTTTCCGTTGAGGCGTTCGCAAGACGTCTGGCGGCTGTTGGGTTCTCGGCGACCGACGTCGCATTCGTCGGTCGCCTCTTAAAACCGAATGATGTTGCCATCCCTTTGGTTAAGCTCGCCTTTTTAATACTACTTTTATTCTCATCCTCGGGACTCTGAAAAACAAATAACACCAATTAACTACACTTCATTAGACACATAAGCAACTTTAAATCGTCTCAAATCAATATCAGTTTTCTCTATGACATTTACACTAACCATGACAACTTATATGAAATATTTTGAAGGCTGACTAAAGCAGACGGATCTAAAACTACCAATTAAGGTAGCCGAGTGGAGTGGGATAAAGAAAGTAAACAATGCACGGTTATAAGTATACAAAGCATGTCTGTAAATACATAACAGCCTACTTCCATGTACGTAATGCTCAAAAGATGACGAAAATGGTACGGCCCATCTTGTAAATTTGTATTATTGATTTGACATATACCTTATATATTAGTTTGTTTATATCCTAAATAATCAAAATACAAATTATCAAACATTATCAACTATTTTCCAAATCAGATTCGCAATTTTTAAAATAATTACACAAGAAGTGATTTAAATTTATGAAGCCTGAAGTATTCTGCTGCAGCGAACCATACAAATTCTTCACTCGAAGGCAAAATTTTCAATCTGCGATCGGCAGTAACGACCGCTTGTTATATAAGGCCACTCGGGGCCACGTAAATTAAGATAGTCAAAGTCGTAATTCAATTTGCAAACCAGATTTGATTCTAATGATGAATAACAGCCAGAGCCAGTTACCATTTTTAACCATGCTCCCAAGGATGCGGTATTTGCATACTACATAATTCGAGCAATTAAATGAGCGTAATAAGATTGGCTTGATTAATGTTGCAACTAACACGACGCGTAAGTGGACTTCATTTACATAATGAGAGTTTTAAGGGAATATTCGTGCTCGAAGTTTTCGTGCTAGAATTATATTTTTTATATACATATACAGTTAGCACTCAGTTAACGTACATCCATTAAATATACATTCGATAATACGTATTTGCGGCCAAATACTTAAATAAATCACTTTGTCCACATTAACATACAAGTATTCGTAATAACGTACAATAATACACATTCATAGTGAGTATCCTTTTTCATAAATATTTGTTAATGATAATATAAATATCTATATAAAATTATGCTCGCAAAATGTACGATCCCATGAACATCGAGTAGATTTGAGCGAATTAAGAAACACGTATGTACCAAATATTGTAAACTGATAAATTTATAAGGAAATTAACCATCCGATTAACGTAGTCTATTTGTGTACGTTAATTGAACATTTACTGTATATTTATATGACAAAAAAGGAAACTGTGATCGATACTGTGTCAAGGGAAATGCTGCTATCTTTCACCTTGCATTAGAATATCTGCGGTTAACGATCACACATATGAATGGTGGCTTGCAGAAGAATAATGATATGGTAGCATTGTTCATTGATGTTTCGACAGCGTCTATATGCAGACGAAATACTGTTATGGAGGCCCGAGTAGACACGACGTTTGTCATGCGAAGATGTGTGTCACGTCTATAGAACAATATATTATTTGACTAATTGCGAAGAAACTGCATACAGCTACACTCTGTGTGAGAGAGTGCTTTCGAAACGACCTGGGAATTCAACTTCAAAACAATATCGTATACTTAATCCGAACAGTACACAACTATACTTAGATTTTTTTATACTCGCACCTGATTCTACCTCATTTCTTTTATCCACTTGTTCTCTTCCACTTTAATTTATTGGATTTAACGATAATGCGGTGAAAGGCGACGTCGAAAGACAAGTACTCACAATTCCACACGTCGAGGCGAAACTGGGATCGGTTTTACATACAAATTCCGCACCGTTAGGCTACCAATAAATTTTAGAAATTTTCAATGCACAACCAGACACATTCACATGGATTTTTCTAATAGGTTTTCCAGCGTTTTACGCGATGACCATTGAATGGTAACTGCGATCCGAGAATGCCGCAGGTTTCAAAGTCGAGATCACGAGTTTGTCGAACGAATTATTTGCGGGAACAATTAGAGTCAAATTGCATAATTTCATCTTTCTCCTTTGTACAGGTTTCATAGACAATGAGTGTTTGTTTTTGTCCTGAATTCGTTACCTGCCCGAGGATCTTAACCGCAACTCAAAATTGAAATTGCAAATCAGTGTTGATGATTTCACAAAAATAATATTTCTTTCATTAGCTTTTTTAAATGTATATAATGATTTATATTTTATATTATAGTTACAATTTTATGTGTATTAAAATATGGTTTTGGTATATTTTATTTCTTCTGTAATGTTTTAATTTGATATGATACTATTCACTATCCGTGACATGTCATAAGTGTTTATAGATGACGTAGCATGATTAAAAGTTGACAGTTCAGATGTCAACAAACTCCATAACCAATGGTAGTGTACCTCCTTACAAACAGTTATGTCACTTGTCATGGATCCAAAATAAGAAATTTAACGTTTTTAACTAAAATTTACTAATTATTAAAGCAATCAAATGACCTTATTAAATTATTTATTTAGGTGCTTAAGATTTGAAAACTTATACTTATTCAATATTTATTCAATTATATAACAGTTAACAATTATGGGATGGATATTTTACTTAGTTACATAGCAATAATAGACATTTTATCATTTTATTTGATATTTCCATAATATTTTTTAAATATACTAAGAAAAAATAATACTCGAGTACATGAAAAAAACAAACTTTTAGTTAATTTAAACTTTATTAAAAGTTTTACCTTTTCAAGTTCTTTTTAAATTATATAAAGGAAAATTAATGACCTTTCTGAGGCATTTGAGAAGTTGAAAGAAAAGAAAAAAGTTTTACATTCAATCTAAATTAATTTTCGTACCAACATTTTGAATAATGGTGTTATTATCTATATTAAATATAACTCATGAAAATATTATACACTTTATATAAAATGATTTATTTCAATAGTTATAAGAATATTATATCAGGAAATAATGATAATAATATATATTTCTTTAAAAAAATAAATATTTTTCTAAATATATCTAAAATTTTAAAATATTATTACATAACACTAACGAAATATAATACTTTGTTTATATTAAGTACACTTTATATTACGTATAATGTGTGAATGAATAGTATTTCCAATATTTTATATTGTTTTTACGTATATTATTTTACATATTGAACTCTTTATGCATATTCTCAATAAACTAGATATAAATCTATTCGAAGAATTGACTCTGCTTAGTTTATATTTGTGTTTAAGAAATGATGAAATTGGTATTTGAATTTGATTTTTTCTTGGCTTTTAATATCAACTATCAATGATTTATAGTACAACAATTGTACATTATTCAAGCTTGAGTGAATGCATTTTTGACAGGTTCGAAATACTGAATTTGGATCAGCTATTGCAACATTTATTCCACACCTAAATCGTTACTAATAAATGATTTAACATAAACGATTTTTAAATATGTTTACTGTTTTGTGAGTCATTCAGCTTTCTTACTATCAATAATAATTGCGTGATGTAATATTTTATTTTAATATTTTGTGTATAGTTAAAAGAAAAATTAATATAAAATTAGTTCTTTACTTCCAATTTCTTTTGGTAAAATCTTATATTTTAGAAAATATTGAAATTACATTTTTTTTGTTTGTTTTCATAAATTTATACTTTTTTTTAATGAATGAAAAATTAATTAGAAAATCAACCTTTTAAATTATAAATCTATATAATATAATTTATTTCTGTGATTCCATAAATTTGTTTGTAACAAATATAGATAGATTCGAAGCGATTTCGTAGCAGCGAAGGATTGCCTTGGGCCATTGGTTCTCAACGGAAATCTGCAGCTCTCACTTGCGGCTCCCAGAAAATATGTGAAGACACATCGGCCACACCCTTTCAAACTACTTATACACCTTTATTCTCCAAGCTAGGAATCGAGCGAGGGTAGCCGGATGTGACGAAACGTACGAGAAATGTTATTTCCTCGACAACAAAAAATCCATACTCTGCTAAACTTGCCAACCGTAAAAATCCCGACCTCAGATCGTTGGTCTATTTACAGAACACAATTGATCCTACGTTATGCAAGCAGATTTATTACAATCGCCACTCTTTGTTTATAGACTTTGTAATCAATTTATTTGGAATTTACGAGTTTGATAATAAAAATCTTTATTTATATAAAGGAAAGTTATCACTCGTTTTCTATTCTTGGAAATCGAGAATTATATATTTGATTAAAACGTAAGAAATGAAAGTAATTGATGAAACTGAAAACTTTATACTATTATTAACATTATTAGTGATTTCCATAATAACTACTTCAACTCGATTTTTAATATAATAATCTAAGTTTATTTAAAGAAAATGGATATTGAAGAATAGACGTTTTTAAATAATTTAAACTTTATCAAAAGTTTTCAACTTTAATTCCATATGAATTCCATAAAAATTGATAGTATATATTTATTATTGAAAATATTTTTTTTTAATTTTTCAATAATGAAAATAAAACATAATTACGTAAAGTTATATCTACAATACAATGTAATAATTAAATATTTTGATTAATTGATTCGTTCAGTGAAATCCACATGTAAATATGTATTATACAACTGCGTTTCTTAACTTATGGGTCGTGACTCAAAATTGGATCACTATACATTTTTAATATGTTCAGTTGCGCTGCTAAAAGATTGAATAATGAGTAAAAACAGAGATTATCTCTATTTATATATTTTTTTGTGCTAACGAATATTATTTATTTAAAATATTAATTTACATTATTTAAAGAGATAATGAAGACATTATTTTAATCTCTTGTGCTGTTTCCTCTTAATGTAAATTGTAATTGAATGAATGATGCCCTTCACCTGTGTGTGAGTGTGAGAGAAAAGTATCCAAGAATTTGCATACATTTCTCACGTTCTCATTGTCTTCCTAAAATGCATATATATATATTCTACCATAAAGAGCCACATACAACATCCAATTTTCTTGATTTCATGAAGATTTCTCTCGAAAGTTATGTTATAATGCAAACACTGTTTTCCAAGTACATCACAAAAAAAAACAATAGTAATTCTAGCATACATTATTCAACAAGATATAATCATGAATTATATGCAAATTATTTTATATTATTCGTTAAGTCTACATAACATATTTTTTTAATAAAAATCAGTTCCATCAATATACCAGACCATTTGATAATACAGTCATATATGGCATTGTGCCGGTAATCTGTGTCTAAAACCGGATTAATTAAGGACTTTAAAACTTCATAAAAAGAGACATGTATGTAAAAACTATATGTTTGTGTACAATTTATTTTACTTAAGTAAACTTTAGTTTGTTTTGAAATTTTCAAACTGGATCTAGTGAATCTTACTAGTTTTCTGTTATAAGAAAATTTATTTAATAAACATTGTTTTTATTACGAAATTCACATAAGAATATATCATAAGATTTGAACGGATTTTTGTAACATAGAAGAAAAATCTTTTTATTTCGTAGCACGAAAACCATTCGACTCTAATTTTTTGCCCTTTCAATATGTCAACGGAATTCCCAGAGCTCCCGTTTATTTCCAGATTCATAAAACATTTCATGCCATGAGTTGCAATATACTTTACAGTGAAGGCAGCTCAAATCTTTATATTTGCACTTATATTTTATGTTATACTATATAAATTTTACTTAACTTAACGAGCATAATCCACTCCAAAATTTCTGGATTTTTACTCGTATAGTGATACAATTTTCCCCATATAAACTAATGTAATAAGTTCCATTTTGCGAGTCATTTTCTTACAATTTATTTTGCTCGTTAAGGTTCCACTGTATTAGTTTAATATGACTGTTACAAAAAATATTATTCTTATTGATACTTAATAATGACAAATAAAAGGATAAGCAAATAATCGCTCATAAAAACTATAAAACTATTTCCGATTTTTCATCCTATCGACTATTATTGTTCATGAATTTCATGAACACATGCAATATAATTTATTATGTAATTTCTTATTTTTTACATCTAGTTCCAATAATTGGTTTGGTTTAAATAAATTTAATGAAATGATAATCATATTCAATTATTCATTAAGGTCACACAACAATAATAACAAGTACCATATAAACTAATCAAATATGTATTTTATATAAGAAAAGTAAATGTGATTGTAATGAAACAAGAATAATGCAACGAGATTGTAACACGGGCATTAGCATGTTAATAAATCTATTAAAGCGTTCGGTTTCACTCTCTACATTAACGTGTATAAGTATCATAAAATTCATGAAGCAGAAAACTGTCAAGTTATTGACCTTAATTCTCGCCTATACGTACCAAATGAACAAACTATGAAATTATTATTGGCTTTTAATTAGATTAGTTCGTTAGCGTTTGTAATTAATTTTCCTCCGTGTAATTTCATTTGATTGAACCGATTTACTAACGCAATACGTTTCGATACTGCAGTAATCAAATAACTCTATTAACACCATTATTAAAGCATAGGTTCATTAATTTGATCTTTAATTCTGTATTCATAGTGAATTGTAGAGAATTAAAAGTTTTTTTTAAATACTACATGAAATATTGAAACTTTAAAATCACTATTAATTTAAGAATTATTCCTGTTTTTTGTCAAAGTTCTTATATTTACAATTTATTCAGTAAGAATTAATGTGAAAAATCTAATAATAAGTATAAAATCACACATGTTTTCGATATTAAAAAGCTTAAAATAATAATTATAATATATTTTATATAATTAAATATTTGTTATTAAGTTTTTTTTACAAAATAATAATAAAATCGATTTTAATTGATGATAAAATCTATAAATAATAAGTATTAATCTGTGTTTGTTGTAAAAATTGCTAATTTGTAAAAAAAAATAACTTATTAAAACTTGTTATAATTGTAAATTATTATAAACAATTTTTTTCTATACAATCTATTCAAATAATAATACAAAAGTAAATTTTATTGTAAACATGATAATGTCACATACAAAGTGCTATTGACCGCAGTCTTTCCGCCTCAAATAACATTTTAGATTTTTTTACATAAAGCCATATTATGTTGGAAATGTTCTTCAGTTTTGTATTAAATAATGTTTAAAAATTGTGATATGTGATTATTGAATTTTTGTAATTGGAATAATTATCGATACAGGAATAATTTGATCATCTAGTAAAAACACGTTATTAGCGCTACGAAGTTGTTTCTTACATAAATTTCTGTTTTATATCCAACTAATAACAGAGCAAATTGGATTACATATTTGGTCATATCCTGTACGACTCCTATACTTTACTATACTTCATTATAAATTTTTACAAAGTACATGTTAGATTATTCGATTCATTATAATCTTACAAATAAATAATAAAAACAGAAACCACAAATTCGTTGCGTTAAAAAGTTGTTACAGAATTTCATGAAATTAAGCACCACATTAAACACTCAAAAAAGAAACGAATCTTAGTTCACACGGGGCTTTTAAATACATACCAATCGGTCTTCCCGATAAAAAGAGGCGCGCAAATAACCATGTAAGGAGGACGATGCTATACGGCCACACGCAGAAACGGTAATAGGCTGTAAGTCGTAAATAGTATTAAATTAAAATGGATTGCCCTTTTGGAGCTGCCGGTAACAGTAAATCCAGGATTTGCTCAATTATGCAATGCCGTTCGGATGTTAAAACCGCGGATTATGGCGACATGCCAAAGCGGTCGCCGGTTCAAAATACTCTTTCGTCTGTGTCCATGCCACAAACAACAACCAGAAAACCGAAACTTCTCTCTCCGCAAGAAGCGCCCAGTCCAATTCCGGTGCCTGCAAACACTTGGATCGCTTCCATCTATCTTTGGTGATTCCCTGAAGCCCGATACGGAACGAGACTGAATTCATTGTTTTTTCTCCATTCCAACAAACTGGAGAACCATATAGTATACCAAAGTTTTCGTTTAGTCTATTTTTATTTGAAACTTCGAATTTTATAATATAATGCACTCTGCGGTGACTTAAAATACATTTATATGAAACATGTATGCAGAAATATGCAAGCACATATAAACACATGATTTCTTGTATACCATAGAACAGTGTACGTTCGTGTGGACAAAGGATGGCGCATGTGCGCGTGTTTAAAAAAATAGTAAAAACATGCATTTATATTGGGATTCAATTTACATTTGCTTACGGAAATAAATCTGCACAAAATAAACATTAACTGAGCGTTACTGTATTTAAACTTTAGTTTCATATTACATTCCTCAAATGCAGTAATATTTCAAATGCAATATGTATGCAGATATAAGCACATGATTTCTTGTGTACGACAGAATACTTTACGTATGTGCGAACAAAGGATGGCACATAAAAAAAATAATAAAAACATGCATTTTTATTGCAATTCAACTTAAATTTGTTTACGGAAATTCATGTACACATGATACACTGAGCATTATTATAATTACAATTTGGTTTCATATTACATTCCTCAAACATAGTTTCTACTTCGATAATTAGGGAACACTTAACGTACTTTAAAAACATAATTAAAATATGTACGCAGGTGTAAATATTTGATACCAGATAACCAATAGAAAAGTGTACGTTCGTAGAAATATTCAATGCGTTCAAACGAATGGAGAAAAAAGTTTGTACTAAAAAAATATAAATATGTACAAAAAATACTGATTATGTATATAAGCTTAGTATACTACAAATGTGTATAAGCATTATGTATGTTAACTGAACACTGTTTTTAAATAAACATTATTTTTCACATAACGTTATTGAAATATTATATTTAGAATTATTTTCCTTTATTCACTTAATTAAATTTTCAATTTTACAAATATTTATTTTGTTTTATTACAAAAATAGTGAACATTTTAACATTACCTTTTTATATGAATAACCGTTGTCATTTGCTTTTTTTGTCATAATACTTTTATTGGAATAATATATTATTATTATATATTACAAATAAAAAATTGTACGTTCAAACGAATATATAGCACATTCATAAGATTAAGGAGAAATATGTGTATAAAAGGTATTTACATTCATACATCAAATAAATGTACTTATTTATATAAGTTAACTGAACGTTGAGTATAAATAAATTATGATTTTAAATTAAATTTTTAAAAGTCTTAACGAGCGTAATCCATTCCAAAATTTCCGGATCTTTTGTCGTATAGTGAAACAATTTTCCCCATATAAACTAATGTAATATACGATAATGCGTTCCATTTTCGAGTTTTTCGCAAAATGCTCGTTATGCGAGATTCCACTGTATATTAATACACTTTTCTCAGTTAAAATGATAAAATTATCAATTTCACAAATCTTTAAAAATATTATAATTTTAACATTGAATTTGCTTCTTGTGTCGTAAATATTGAAACATAATAAAAATAAGTATATGACACCCATGATTGATGAAAACGTGTACGTTTCTACAAACATAAACTGCGTTTTTACAAATAGATAAAAACCTTCATACCAATTTTAAATATATGTATTTATGTGGACAATAAATATAATTTTAACATTATATTATTCTATAGATGAGTATAATAAGAAAATAAAACAATTCTTAAAAAGTGTACGTTCGTATGAACATCGTTTACGTCCATGTAAAACTACAAACATGTGTGTACTAAATAAGTCGTTTGCATTTATATAAGAAATCAGTAATTAATGTACATTCATTTAACGTTCGAAAATTAACGTTTAAATTATGTACGTTAACTGAACGTTGACTATAAATAAACGTTGGTTTCAAATTACGTTGCTAAAACGCAGTTAATACGATATATTATATTCGCTAAGTTTAACGTTCAGGTCAAGACTTAAAACAGACATAAAAGCAGTCGTAAATCAAGATGTTCTCGCGCAGATAACGTCTCACATTTACATCCAAAATACAACTAAGGTTTTTAATAGTCGACCGGATTAAGCACGGACGTAGCTATAACCCAGTCACTTTAATACATAGATTACTAAGGTGTTCTTGTTTAACTTTGCAATGAGAGTTTTGTAAGCCTAGATAAATTAAGGTCGAAAGAAGGAAAAATAAATACGGAGCGAGGAAAGTACACACGGCGAGCACATGTTACTGACTATATAAGAGGACTTTAATGAGTTTATTAGCACCGTAATGGTCGTTCTTAAACTTGACTAAGACCATTCCTGAAGCGTTAATCAACGAAATCGTCACGTTCGCCTCGCATTCAGACCGAATTGTATCATGCATTTCGAGAATGGATAACAAATGATCAGCATCCAAGATTTATGACTCTTGATGAATGCTGGTATGCTAAACGCTTGATTGCAGGTAAGCTTTGATTAATACGCAATAGCGATGATAATAATAATAACAAGAGGGAAGTGATAATCATTCAAGACGTATAATTAAAGTGATATAAACTAATTTCAGTTTAATAATCGTAATCTTTAATATTAGCATACACTTATTTCAAAACTAGGTTAATTTACAAGGAAATATCAATATTATTTAACATTAATCGAAAATAAACACATTTTCGAATTTGCATAATTATATAGCATTTTCCTAAAATATAACTTTAGCGTTTTAATTATTGATAACTAAACAATTTGTGACATAAGTCATATACATGTTATACAGTACATAGAAAAATGCTACTTCAGTATAAAAATATTCAACTTAAACAATTTTTGTGTCAAAAAGTTATCGATTAAAGAGAACTTAAATAATTAAAGGAAACAATAAAATGTCTGTAAAGAAATGCAATTTCGTTTCAATTGTTTCTATTGAGATTATGTAATATTTTATTTATCAATTATGCACTGTGGATCAACCAATTGGATTATGAACATTAGACGTCTCAAAAATTAATTATAAAATATAATTGAAGAAATAATGGCAAAACCGATTACGTAATCGAGAACTTTAAAACCATTTAAAAAATAAAAAGTCATTTGACTGTATAGAGAAAATCTATGTATAAGAAATAATTATGTGTACTACTTTTTTAGAATTTATTAACAAATCTATATGTAAAATACAACATTTTTTTAAGGCCATTATGAGAATTGTGCGAAAATAGACATTATATAATAAGAAAATATAAAATACATTCTAAAATTACTTCTGATTTTACTATGTATGCAAATATACAGGAAAACTACCTTAGATTTAATCGTTGCAAATCATCACAAAATATAATTAACCAAATTTATTCACTTACACAGTATAACTAAACTATATCTAATGCAAATGCTAAAAATTTGTGTAAACGTATATTTTGATGCGCATGTATAAAACATGTTATCTATATATAAAACAAAAATTACACAAGTTTTTCTATTCTATTTTTAATGACTCACGTTAATTGAACGATTCAAGGGTCAAAGTTTAGCATACACAATAAATCACTTCAGCTCCAAAATATAACATTTTACTAAATATTTATTTGATTATAAAATTGTTGCAATTCTCAAAACAAACAAAAATATATTAACGGAATAATTTCAACATAATATACGTAGTACATACGTAGTAATAGTTTATTTATTAAGAAAATCTACGTCTTTTAAAATGCGTTTCTCATAACAACAAATATGATTTGAAAGTTAAATAAACTTTAAAAAATAATATACATCAGTAATTATTTATATAAAAATCTCTTATATTTGCAATTACTTAAGAATTTTAAATTTAGTTATCAAAATTATGTTGACTCTTTATTAATACACTCAAATACTCAATTTTTCGTTTATAAAACCTATTTTTATTTATGCTATCAAAATATATAAATTTCATTGTAATTTGTATTATTTTTAATGGAAATAATTTCTGAAATTTACTCCGTTTTTTAGTAACAAAAATGCAGAAATTATAATTGACTTTTTGCTGGATTTTATGTTTATTCTTACATATTTGGTTCGAACGCTTTTTATAGTTGTTCGATATTTTTATGTCCATAAGTTTATGGATCATAAGACTTAATTAAATACATCAGTTTACTTAATAAATCAAAATCTATAATTTTGTAAACAATTGAACAATAGTGATAAAAATAGTATTTGCAACTCCTTAAATCATAAATTTTTCGTACAATAAGTTTATTTGAAAAATAAATTGTGTAACTTTTAACATGAATATAAAGATCAATTGATAAAAGACTTTTCGTCCTTTTTTACTGAATTATTTTAATTATTTATATTCATGATTCTTATAATCAGTATATGAAAGATTTTCACAAATTAAAGAGATAATTCGATTTTGAAAATCTTTATTTTTATAAATTAATTTTATTTATTTTGAAGCAATTATTAATTGTAAAATATATAAGATTTTAAAGAAATCAATTACTTTAGTTGTTTATATTTGATTTATACAATTATATCCACTTCACATTTGTATCATAACAGAAAAATAGATTTTTGAAATATTTATTTTTTTAAATTATTTCAATTTATTTTCAGGAATTTGATTACTTTCATTATTTATATTTTATTTATCTAATTTTATCCAATATTTATTTTTAGCATTACATTATTAAAACTATGCAAGAAACCATTATCAAATCACAACT